AGGCACCTTCCAAAACGCTTCTTCTTGCCGAAAGAGGTGCACCAAACTTTACGTTTCTAAGTATATAGTTAGGGGATGCTCATGAAATGCTTATGTATATTTTACTGACAAAGTATATTGTTCATACATTAACCTAATAATTGGTTAAGCAACCTAAGACCACTTCAAATTTAAATTCGCTGAAAAAGTATTACCACCTTCAGTTGTCATGGCAACACCAGCTTTTTATAAAAGTCATCAATATTTTTATCATCCTCATATGGATGCAGTCGCGCAATTCAAGCTCATTGAGCACCCTGTATTGGTTACAGTAGAAAACTAAAATTTACTATAGATATTATTCGACTGGGATGTTTATGCAGAAAACGAAGTCTAAAAATATGTACCCCATAACTATAAACAAAATTGTATATAAATTTTATTATTTTGCTTAATACGTAACAACGTAGCTACCATGCAACAACAGGACACCTAATATTTCTTTTCCACTCATCTAAATTACTCTACGTCTGCCAAAATTAGTATACCTTAACTAAAATCTCCACTACTTACCCCATCGTTTATCACCTTTTCTGCAAAAGTAATTCAACCCTCCAAGAAAATGTGTTTAACAGGTAGTTGTGGCCACCCAATTTGCTTTAATTAAGCCTTCAGCTTTTCCGGAGGGTTGCAAATTAATACCTTTTCATGTAACTATAAATAAAGCACCCCTTTACCTCCAATACCGTTTGCCAGTTGGGGCTTCGTATGAAAAACGTTGCATTCACGCAACGACAAGTACTTAATTCATTTCAAATTAACAACTGTTACACACACACACACACACATGCTGCCTATGTACCCAGCCTTACATAAGTCAAACATGTTAAACTAGTAAAAGCAGGCAAAAACAACAACAACCTCAGTAACAAAAAAAGAAAAAAAAAACGCCCCCCAAAATATGTACACTTACAGTGAATGATAATCTCTTTGTTGACACTTACAAATTGGGTATTAGAAAAGATACTTAAGCGTAGCGTAGAAAAGTTAGGCCGGAAGCAGCAGGCAGGAGAGCTACCAAAAATATGCGAAGCAATAAAATATACATACCTATGTACATACATAGACATCTTCATAGAATCAAGCGCAACCTTTAATAGCATTATTTGTTGGAAGGCCGTATAGACGTGGGTTTCTTTTTGCCAAACAACATCAGAAGAAAAAAAACACCATTACACAACTCAAAGACCAAAGCCGGAAGAAGCAACAAAATAAATATTTGAAAAACAAAAAAACAGCTTGACAAACAATGCACACCCGAGTGTCCGCCCTGAATAACTGAAAGTGAGTGAAGTGAGAAGCTTTGGGGCGTCCATGCAAATTGTCTATGCTGGAGACTTCATAAAATCAATTTTACAATGTCAACGCACGACTGAATCGACGAATGTGCAACACTGGCGAATAAATAGTATGTACCCTCTTCAAAACGTGACAAATTTGGTGTGTGAATGGTTCTAGTACTGTCTGTGGCATGAAAAATTAGGCTAAGACTAACAAATCGAGGAGGGTGAGTACATACTCTGAGTAATAGAAAGGCTGAGGTAGAGGTTAATAGCAAACAGAAATGGTTAGAGGCAGAGGCTCGCTTTAAAAATGTTAAGTATTTATTTATGTAAGTGATTGAGAGAATGTGCGTGGGACAGCGGCATTGATTGTAGCTAAGCAAAATTCCTAATCAACTAAATGTGTGTACTAGATTTTTACATGTACTCATTAGGGTGGTAAAAAAAAAAAAAGTAAAGTGGGAATTTTAATGCTCTCACTCCTACGATTGTTCTATATCGAAAAAATATACCCCTATTTTTAACCGACTTCACAAAAAGGAGAAATGTTATCAATTCGTCGGAATATTTTTTTTTTATGTATGTTACCGCATAACATGGACCACATTAACCGATTTCTATAATTACTTGTTAAACGAAAGTTGTTACCTCACACAGGTGATCCCATATTAATTTGGTTTAAATGCGACCATCGGATCATGAAGAGATTAACGATAATCTTAAATTTTTATATGAGAATTGAAGTCGGTTTTGTTTTTAAATTACTTGTTTGATTTTGAAATGAAAAAATATTTAGAGGTCGCTCAAAGTTTTCCATTTATTTTACAAGGAAAAAATACCCTTGCGTAGAAATAGTATAGAATTCTTGAAATATTTTTGGAAAACTTTGGTTCTCTTCAAGAGACTTCCAATAACAATACCCAATTATTTTTTTTAACCTTTTTTTAATACTAAAGATTTTTTATTGGTCCGCCCATTGCACTTTCTGGGGTTTATGGCGTACGTAGAAAATTTGGTTACTAGTTAGGTTGGAAGCTTAAAATGGTAAACTTATTTTCCCTCATATATTTTCAAACAACCTTAATATACATAGATACATATGTGTACGAATTTGCTAGCGAATGTGGTGGTTACTTCAGATCCTGCAACTGTTGAAACTTATCTAATTTAATTAATTATGAGCAGGTGTAACATTTACATACTATATTAGTGATTATTGTGTGTACTCAGCAGTAATAGACCGCCCAATTAAAAAAAAAAGTAAGTGCGCCTAGGCCACACTGTAGAAGTGAAACCTACGTTACTTATCTATCTATACATATACACATCTGCTTTTGCTTAAGGTTATATTTTTTCGCTTTTTTTCTATCAATGTAAATTCCTACCTCTACCACTGTTCGCTTTAATAACATTCATGTTATTCTGTTTTTCCATTATCTTCATTTTTATCTTCATACTGAATCGATAACAAAATCGATTATAACGTCCATCAAAATATCGATAACCAAATCGATGACAAATTCGATAAAAATTTCAATAGCAACATCGATAATACCATTGGTAGCTAAATCGATTAGAAAATCAATAAAAATATTGATAACAAAATCGATAAATGTCGATAACAAAATCGATAAATGTCGATATAAAAATCGATAAATTTCGATAACAAAATCGATAAATATCTATAACAAAACCGATAACTATCGATAACAAAATCGATAAATATCGATAAAAAATTGATAAATATCGATAACAAGATTGATAAATATCGATAACAAAATCGATAAATATCGATAACAAAGTCGATTTATATCGATACCAAAATCGATAACAAAATCGGTAAATATCGATAACCAAATCGATAAATATCGATAACAAAATCAAAAACAAAATCAATAACAAAATCGATAAACATCGCTAACAAAGTCCATAAATATCGAGAACAAAATCGATAAGAATCGATAATTATCGATTACAAAATCGATGAATATCGATAACAAAATCGGTAAATATCGATAACAAAATCAATAAATATCGATAATAAAATCTATAAATATCGATAACAAAATCGATAAATATCAATAACAAAATCGATAAATATCGATAACAAAACCGATAAAAATATCCATTATTTAATCGATAAGTCTCGCGAATCTCGAAAATCTCCAAAATGCTAAAATAGTTCCCAGATTGAGTATCTGTGTCTCTCTCTATATCCTTTCCTCTTTAATTACCTTTATTTTAATCTTTCCTCCCCTATATTCATCTTTACTTTTATCGGTATCCTCATCCTCATCTTTGTTTTTACTTTTATGTTTATCATTCTCTCCATCAACATATTCCCCTTCACCTTTGGCGTTATATATATAAGTGAAGTGTTTAAATTTACCTTGGTCTTCATTTTTGCCTATATCTTTACACATCTTTGTTTTGGTTTTTATTTTTACCTTTGCCTTAATAATTTTCTTTATCTATGTACGTACTCACCTTTACTTTCATTATTGTATTGGTATTTCTAAGTGTTATCCTCTAACCTTTTATTAGTAAGTTTTTGTTAAATTCATACCATATGCATACACACAAGAAGTACTTGTTTCAGCCCCAACCATTTCCGTTGCTCCATTTCCGTTGCACCATTTCCATTGCATCATTTCCGTTGCATCATTTCCGTTGCACCATTTCCGTGTGCAATTTCCTCTGAATTTGACAATTTACTCCCACCCAACCAACCGCCGCTAAAGAAGTTTCACTTCAAAAATAAAAATAAAATTTACCCGTAATTACCTAGCTGCAATATGGCCGGTTAGAAATGGACAGCTCTTTACATCGGGACGAAAGCATTCGACTAAATAGTGTGTCCTCAACGAATCTTTTAAGATACAGGCCTTTTCTACGTATTACTTTGGGATTAAAATTTGTTTTTAAAGGGTAGTTAAATTCTAAAGACTAGTTGAGAAAACGACCCTTAATATCTATTGTGCACCTCTGCTCTTACAATTTCCTCCAAGAACTTTTTACATACATATACATATGTATGTATATTTGATATATTTTTTGTTTTTTATTTTCATATAGTACAAAATACAATATTTTAATATTTATAATATTAACATTACATATTACATATTTTATTTTTAAAATTATCATATAACGACGACTATGATTTTTGCATTAAACTTGCATTATTTAATTTTAAGATAAAAATTTTTATAGCAGCTGAAAAATTTCGTTTGTTTACTATTTGCATAAATTTTAAAATTTAATAAAAATCTAAATCATAAATTATAAATATAGAAAAGTCGAAATAAAAAAATGTTTTGTAACTAAAAAAAATTATAAAAAAATTAAAAAAAAAATTTTAAGTTAAGTACTATGTGAGCATACAGCAACAATACGTCAACTGCCGCTCACTTTTCGTTGCATTCTGCGCGAAGCTGCTATTTTATGCTATTTCATTTTTGTTCATTTTGTTCATCACGTTGACAATTCGTTAAGTGCGCTTAGCATAATAAGTAAATTATACTTAATTATTATTAATTGTTTATGATTAATTATACAAATTAACGCTGAATTTAAGGGACGCTACTATTCCAGGTGTTTATACATACAAGCTAAATGAAAATTTGTTTTTTTTTATTCTTAATAACTAATTTACATTTAAAATTTAAATTATTACTGTTTGTGAGGATATTCACTTAAACTCGAAAATAACCGTAAAATTTCAAACTCGACAAATTTTGACAACTTGGTAAAAGCAGGGAGACTTTCAAGCTTTCTGCAAGTTATTGGTGTTTGTGTTTGAACTCAAAAAACCCGAAAGATGCGTTACCCGAAAAATGCTAAAAACTCGGTAAAAGCTTCACAACTCTCGAGCTTTTTTCAACTTTCGGGCTTCCCAAAGCTCTTTTGCAGCTTAATAGAATACGCATGGTCTTGTTTTCCTTTTACTTCTATTTCGTCGTATTGTTGTAATTTAATTAACGCAGCTTTAAAAGCTTCACATTAAATATTGTAATCTGTAGTTAAAAAGCTTAAGTGAAAACAAAAAATTTTTATTATTATACAACGCATATGCAAATTAATAAATGTGTTTCGCATACTTTTAGGTGCTTCAAGAAAAAATGCCAGTGTTTTTAAAAATTATTAAAAATTTAAACAATTTCAATTACAACAATTCAATATAAAGCTTTCTTCATGGTTTAGTTTTTGTTTGCTTTCTTTCAAAAATATTTTGTGCTGTTTTATAATGAGTATTTAAAAACATCGTAGATTTTCATAACCGAAGGCAGTGATTTCGCATTTTGTTCCTTCCCCTTTACCACTCAACTCTTAACTGCTCGACCACTATTTCCCTTCACTTCTAAATTTGAACGACTAAGCTAAAAACTATTTCGCATTTAAATACAATGTATCAACGTCGTTAAGTTTACTAAGTGACGCTGATTCGTTAGTTTTATGACCACAATTTTATTGCTTCCCATTGTTGGGCTACTATTAGATGTGCGCATGTGTGTGTGTTTGTGCTGCTGCTGCTGCTGCTGCTGCTGTGTAGCGCTTATTGGACTTCACTGTCACTGTCGCTCTTTTCTGTAAATGATAAATCGTGATATTATAGCTTTCATTCAGTGTAGTGCTTCGTGCAGTAGTGTCTTTTTACCTTTTTTGCCTGTGTACGCATGTCGTTTCAGTCGATCGTATAAGTCTTCTTTAGTGCCATAAAGCGAGGCATTCGATCTCGCCAATGTACTCATTTTACCGCCATGAAGACCTGTTATGCAGAGAAATGGGGCGATCATACAACGTAACATAGCGTAACATAACATAACTTAACATGACAAAACATAGCATAGCATAACGTAACTTAACATGACCGAACATAACATTAACATAGCATAACAAAACATAGCATTACGCAACCTAGCATAATATAACATGAATACAAGAAAAATCAAAGCGAAAGCAATCGCTACTCACCACCACCATCCTTAATGTACGCCTCATTGTAGAAGTTCGGCATCTCCCAGCCATCCTCCTCGTCATCGTAGTAGTGCGCATAAGTGCTGTGATGCGACGGCGCAATAGACTCCGCATATGGCGTGTGTGCGCCATAGTAGAAGTTCACCTGTGAGCCAGTCTGATCGATGGCCGGTGTCAGCATTTTCTTCGGATCGCGACGCTTCGTCGAACGCACACAAATCATCCAAATGAGCAGCACAATTACAATGATAAAGATTACCGCACCCGCAATACCACCCGCTATATAAGCAAACTCTGAGCGCTCAGCGCAATGTGGTCCCGTGAACGAGCCAATGCAGCGACACGATGGTGTGCCCTTCAAATCCTTGACGCAAGTTCCAGAATTCTCACAATAACCATCGCACATGTCAATGCACTCCATGCCGGTACCATTGAAGCCAGGCTTGCATTCGCACTGGAAGTCCGACGTTTCAGGCACCAATATACAATACGCATTTGGATCGCAATGTGGACGACCTTCAGCAATGTGTTCGCAGGGATTGGTGCACTCCGACTTCGCGGTGGCGCCTGTGATCTTGGTGCTATGATTTGGCGGACATTGTATGCATGACGTCTGCTGCGATTCGGACTGGTAGTAGCCCTTGCGGCATTCCACGCACATATTGAGTGTGCCATTGAGGTATGTGCCGGGTGAGCACACTGGCAGCGTGCACTCCTCAACTGAGTTGGCGCCCACTTTTGGTGTTGTGCGGCCCAGCGGACAGCCAACGCATGAAGGTTGTACACCTTGTGTGCGATACGTGCCGCGTGGGCAGGGTTCGCAACGACCATCGACGCCGAGTTGTTGACCAGAGCTGCATTCATCGCGACATTCTTTGCGCGAGGTAGCCTCACTCGAGCGTGTAGTCTGGCCGAGCCCGCAGAGCTCGCAGCCGAAGGAGCCTTCGTTGGGTTGATAGAAGCCATGACCGCAGGAGCGGCACAGCCCCGTGTCCGAGTCGAAGTATTTGCCAGCAGGACAGCGTTCCTTGCAGTCGGCGGCAGAGCGTGCGCCCGGGCCCGCAGTAACACCTGGACGGCCAGCAATTACCGGACACTTGCTGCACTGCAGCTGACCGGCTTCCGACTGATAAGTGCCGCGTTCACAGGCGACACAAGTCTGGTTGGCCGTATCGTAATAGGTGCCGATGGCACATGGCACGCAGTCGGGTATCATGACGACCTGACCGACAGGGCAGGCATATTCCGAGCCCAGTTCGAGTGAGGCGGGATCAGGCACAGTGTTGGGTAGAATTTCCTGCACAGCAAATTGATCATCTTCCAGAATGAGTTTCTCCAAGAGATTTTTAACTGTCGAACGTTCGCCTGTGGTCGAGTGAATGACCGGGTCGCTGTGAATGTGAAAAATTTAAATTAGCCATTATATTTGTATGCAAATGAGAGCAAATATGGGTAGCTAAGCATTATTTGGTTTGGTTCTTGTGAGCACAGCGTGTGAGTTTAGTTTTAGTGAGTAATGCGGAGGTAGATTGCATTGTGACAACAGGGTGTTTGGTTAGCATTAATGTTAAACGTATTTTCCGCATAAAACCAGCCATCAACCGAATATAAAATGAAAAACTCAAAACTCAAAAATCAGAAGAGCTGCAAGCCACCAAAAAAATAGCAAAAGAATATCGCATGATTTGTGAGTGAAGCGCCTGCGTCCAGCCAGGTTAGCAAGCAAAGGTGCGCCTATTTAAGCTACTGCAAATTGAGCTTTGAATTTGAAATTCAACTTGAACATACTTCACTGCTGGGAAGAGTATCTCCAGCATATAGGTATCGCCGCCAGCTTGTTGGCGTCCTTGCCGACCGCGCGTATCGACCTCATCGCTTTCGCTATAGGTAAATCAGTGATTAGGTTGGTTACACATAAAACACATAGACATAAAAATAATGGCACATAGAGACGCACATATAGAAATACATACAGACATATAAACACACCGATTACATGGAAAATTATACATACTTACTTATGTATACATATGTAAGTATACGGTTTTAGCAAAATTCCTTAATATAAATAGTTACTCGTGTTTTTATACTCACTTGAGCACTGGAATCTCTGCTTCCATCACATACACACCCCCATCTTTCACCTGGCGACTGACGCGTTGACTTTGAGCAGCACGATAATGATCACATTTGACATCGATCTTGATATCCTTGCATTCGCTGTGCGGAAAAGGAAAGAAAAGAATTAGCTTTAAAACGAAATAAAAAAGTAAACTGCTGAATCGGGCCCCATAAAACAAGTTAATCAGGGTCAATGGTCAATGAAAACTAGAAGCCGCAAGAAACACCGCTACTAACTAAAAAGCTGGGGCTAGGATTCTCAAAGAGAATATTCTTAATAAATGTGGGTACGAGGGGCACAATAGATCCGTTAAATCGCGTCGCATACCTCTTCAATTTGTCTGTGTGGGACTGAGAGTGGAGCGGAGAGTCTCACCGTGGCAGTGGTGTTGCCACTCGGAACCCACGTTCACAATGGAAAGGCCAAGTGGAACTCAGAATCCAACCGTATAGCGACATCTTGGCCAGGACTTAGAAAGCCCTCAAAACCTCGATTTAGCTCAAGAGTGGTATAATTAGTCAAGCATAGTATAGTTTGAAACCAATGAATTTCCCAGTTCCGTATTAGATTATCTGTCATTATTATCAATTACTCGTCGTACCTTTGAATTACTTAAAAGATAAATCAGAGCTTTCTAAAGGGAGCCTAAATACAGTGACGAAAACATAAATAGGGAAGAGAGCATTCTTTGACTAATTCCTCTCCGTGTATTTAATGTTTATTATTTTTTTTTTTATAAAAATGTAGCTCGTTATCTAACAAAATTCAAAAAAGCTTCATCAAAATTTTGAACTTTTTGATTAGATTTCTTAGAAACATTCTGTGTAAGCAATTTTTTAGTCCATTAAATTTTACAGCAAATTTCACGAAAGCAATTTTTTTTTATTTTTTGAATCTTATATGAAAATTGACAGAAAATAAAAAAACCGTTTTCCATTTAAACTGATTAAAAAGTTTCAAATTTTGCAGAAATTTCGAGCCTAACCACCAAAAAACCTTGAGCAACATTTTTTTCGAAATTTTCATTTTGACGCAGAAATGTATCTAGATGGGTGGCGGTCATCCTCTTGCCCGTAGGCAAAGCTCTGTCAAGCTTTATATACTAAATGTATGTAAAGCTTGAATGAACTTTGCCCGCGGGCAGGCCGGTGCCCACCACCGTTATAAACTCTAGGAGTTATTCTGCATCAAAAAATACATTTTCGCAAAAAATGGCTCTTACGTCTTTTTGCGGTTGGGGTCGATTTGTTAAAATTCACAGAATTTTTATAAATATTGTACAAAGCTTTTCTAAGCGCCATATAAGCTTTCAATTAAAAAATAATGCGGTGATGGGCATCAACTTGCCCGCGGGCATTGCTTTTTTAGCTTTCTGTACATTTTCTATTAACCTGTGCAGAGTAAAAGCTGCCTCCACCTATCACCATAATGGTTTTTAAGTTAGGTGAGTATAGAAAAACTTTATCTGTAAGCTTTAAGCTAAGTAATTAACCAAATCGAGTTTAAGTTGTTTGAAATTTACTAATTTTCGTATCTAAAACCCCTTGAAAGATAAATAAAAGCTTGAAACCTTTTCTAAGCTGCATTCAAGTTTTTGAAATAAACTTTGAAGGTTTGAATCAGTCCTGCTACATTTGTTTATTATGTAAAACTTCGATCTAGACCTAGCGATTCATAATATCCAGCCTTAAGTTAAATCAAAGTACATACAGTCAACTAAAAATTTGTTACTGTAAAGCTGCGTTTTTTTTAGATTTAAACCAATTATTTTGCTAAATTTGTTACATATTTGCTGAAACTAAATTCGTTTTTGTAATTAAAACCACTAGAAAGATATACGAAAGTTTTTAATTTAAAGGCTCTAGGCATGAAAGCTTCTCTGTACGACATTTCAACTTTCACCTAAACTTTTTGAAAGTTTTTAAGAGTTTGAATATTATTTATCTAGAAGCTCCAAAAGAAAGTTAGCAATGATACGAGTCAAAAGTAAAAGCGTTATTACTAAAAAGTTCAAATTATTTGAGTATCCCTATTGGATATACAATTTTTTTTTTTATTTCGGGTTAAAATAAAGCTTTCACTCTTGAAAATTTCGATTAACTAGACTCAGAGCGTGTGCTTAGAGCTTTTACGACCAGAGAGAATTGATGCGTTTTTATAAAAAAAGCTTGGTTGGTTGGTTTAAGTGGATTGTCACTCCGGTGACAAGCAATTAGCAAGTTTGCCATTTTGATTCCACAACTCGTGCAACCTACAGCCATTTGGCGGCTTTAATAAATTGCAGTACGTCATACAGAGAAGGCAGCTGCACTCTGAAATATTCTGCAGGAATGGTTTGCCGAGCGTCTTCAGCCTCATCCTTGCGAGGGCTGGACACTCGCACAGCAAGCGTTAGACTGTCTCTTTTGAGCCCGGGTCATCGCAGCTGCGACAGAGCCTATTGGAGGGCAGTCCTATCCTTTCGGCATGTACCCCAACGGACCAATGCCCTGTGCACACTGCAGTAAGTTTGTAGGCATTTGTTTTGCTTATTCCTAAGAGAGATTTGGTTTTGAGTGGGTCGTAGGTCACCCAGAACTGCCGGGCAATACTGTAGGATCCTGTGCAGTTCCACCTCTGCTTGGCCTTCGAATGATAAATTTCAGGTAATTTTGGTCTTAATCTCCCTGAGCGAGGCGCCCATGTCCACCGCGTGGGACACATCCAGTGCGGAGCCGCTCCTTGCTAGTTCGTCCGCTGCCTCGTTTCCGGAGATGCCCCTATGTCCCGGGATCCATATTAGGGTAATTTCGTATTGATCAGATATAAAGGCCAGCTCTCACCTACATTTATCGACTAGCTGAGATCTAACATAGATATATAAAAAAGCTTAGTAGGATAATGCAATGTTATGGAGTGCGAAAGGTCAGTGTAAAAGCTTTTACATTCCAAACACCTTTAAAACGGCATTAAATTCGTAAAAACCTATCTCGAATACTAGCTTTCCCCCTCTTTGAAATATCTGGCTCATCTCTTAGTAACTTGGAACAGATACATATGCGCCATAAAATCTCCTCTATATAAATTAACTACTCCCAAACAAATTTTCTACTAACCGTGTGCCCTCCACCGAGTAAGAGCAGAAGTTCCAGTCGCGATTGAGTGCGTTCACGGAATTCGTCACCTTCTGGCGCAATACACCTTGACCAGCCTTGTTACAGAGCACATCCGATGGGAAGAGCATCTTGATACGGAAGACACGTTGCGCCGGTTTAGCAGCTACGCGAAAAAAGTTAAACAAATATGTACCGAATAAATATAGAACCAAAAGCGAAACATAACTTCAAGAGCTTACGTGAGCACGATGGATAAACAAGCGGCATGGATGGTTCACGCGTGGGACGCCAGAAACCTTCGGCACCGCACGTATAGAAATCAGGCACTTCCTCAGAGAAACGTAGGCCAGGATTACAGGATATCTCACAAACCTTAAATTGACCGCCAGCGCCCCAGTCTTTGCAGACTTGCACACCACCTACTGGATCTGCCAAAGGTGGACAGAAGTCAGCTATGAAGAAGGAAGAAGGAAGATTGTTATTTATAGATTTCGAGACAACAGCGTCTTTCGGACTACTGAATACTCACTCAACAGCGACACCTTGAAACTGCATGTAGCCGTGTTGCCTGCCGCATCAGAAGCCACATAGGTTATGTCGTAGGAGCCCCAAAGCAGTGTAGTGCCCGGACGGTGACCATTGCGTTCCATAATTTTTGTTACGCCAATATTGTCGCTAAAGTGTGGTTCATCCCATGTCACCACCGCCGAACCATTCTTGGCAATCACCCACAGATCACCAGGGCAATGTTCCACAACTGGCGGCTCTTTGTCCACAACCAACTGCTGGCAGTTCGGTCCCTGATAGCCGTTGGGACATTTGCGTTGTCCACACATTGATGGCACCGTACGTTCGACGCCACCTAATGTCACCTCATATCCGGCCCAGTTTAGTATGAGTCCGTGGTACAACACTGGCTCGGAGCGGCAATCACGCACTTGTTTCTGTATTTCCGAAGTGATATCCAGCGCTCGTCCCCACACTTGTGTTTTTGTGATTGTTCCCTGGAAACCGGATTCGGCATAGGAGGCCGAATGTTTAGTATCATCCGGCTGCGGACGTCCCAGTACAGCCCACGCGTATTCGGGCATAGCGCGCCCACCACCGTATTCCATTTTGCTGGCGATAAGCCCCTCGGTAATCAGCTGCAGCTGCCCGCTCACGCCATCCCACAGTATGGCTACATGATGCCATTGGCCATCATTGACCGATGTGTATTCACCGAAGGAGAGGAAAGCATCGGGTAGATCTTCGAAGATGGAAACCTGCACGCCACTCGAATGCGCTTGCAACAGCAGCCGACGATTGTTGGCTATATGCGCTGATTGCACGCCGTAGAGCGTAAAGAAGATGCCAGTATCATCCTTTTGCGCAAATTGCACCCACATAGCGATGGTCAAACTGTTGGATTCGCCGGTGTAGAATGGCACCACCTGAGCGGCGGTGGAACGCAAAGGATCGGAGAAGTATAAATCGTAATCGACTTGTATGGTCTTGCGGCAGTCATCGCCGGTCATATTGAAGGCGCACTGACAGTAGAAGCCATTCGTCAGATCAATGCATGTGGCGCCCGGCGGGCACGAGTTGTCCTTGCAGTCGACGATATCTTCTTCACAGTTTTTGCCTGTATAGCCCGTTGGGCAAGCGCAGGAGTAGCCGTTGCCGTAGTCAATGCAGGTAGCGCCATTCTGGCACACATGCGCATCGCAAGCGTCGAATTCGTACTGACAGCCAATACCAGAGAAATCGGCTGGACATGTGCAATTTAAGCCAGATCCATAATCTTGGCACTTACCGCCATGCATACAGGGATTACCGATGCAACGCTCAGGCGCTGTTTCACAATTTTTGCCATCCGTGCCACTGGGGCACACACAGAAGTAGTCCAGGAAAAGGTCAATGCAGTTAGCATCATTTTGACAAGGTGACTGTCCTCCACAGGAAGTGATCTGACGTTCACAGCGCACACCGCGCCAACCCTCATTGCAACTGCACTCAAAGCCGCCAACACGATCGCGACATTGACCACCATTCAAGCAAGGATTGGACTCACAGTCATCAATATCCGTTTCACAGAAGGCGCCTGTGAAGCCTTCGCGACACACGCATTCAAATTTATTATCCAAATCTAGACAACGTTCAGTACCCACAGGGTTGCAAGGATCACTCAGGCACTCGTCGATTTCGGCTTCGCAGCTGAGTCCAACAAAGCCAGGGCGGCACTTACAAGTAAAGCCATCTAATTGATCCACGCATGTTGCGCCATTCTGACAAGGGCTCGATTCGCAGTCATCAATTGTATGCTGACAGTTCTTTCCGGTGTAGCCGGGCTCGCATGAGCAGCTATAGCCGTTCACTAAGTCCACGCAGACGCCTTCATTTGCGCACGGACTGTCGGCGCAGTCATCAATGTTTTTGTCGCAAGCATCACCGCTCCAACCCGGATGACAAACACACTCGTGATCAAAGAGGCGGTCCACGCAGGTGCCATGTTTACAAGGCTCTGACAGGCATAAGTCGATCTTCTCCTCGCAGCGTTTGCCGGTAAAGCCAGGCGGGCAAGAGCATTGGAAGTCATTCACCAGATCTGTACAATTCGCCCCCAATAGACATGGGTTCTCTGCGCAGTCGTTGATATTCTGCTCGCAATGTATGTCTTCCCACCCGGGAAGGCAGTCACACTTGTAACGGCCCTGTTGTAAGGCCAAACAACTTGCGCCATTGCCGCACGGGTTTCCATTTGCGGTGCAGGGATCGATGGTCACATCACAGTCCGCGCCAGTATAGCCGCTGCGACACAAGCAGGTAAAGTTCTTATAGCCTGGTTCATTCTTGCACATAGCGCGTGCTGGGCAGGTATCATTGCTGCAATCGCTCACTTCCTCTTGACAATTTATGCCCGAGTAACCGGCCGGGCATTCGCAGCGATAGCCTTGTGGCAGATCGGTACAGGAACCGCCATTGTAACAAGGTTGTGAAGCGCATTCGTCGATGTCAATCTCACAACGTCTGCCCGAGAAACCAGCTGGGCAGAAGCACTGCACGCCATGACCCATCGGTACGCACAAACCGCCATGCAAGCAAGCGCCCTCGCCGCAAACCACAGGTTTGCATTCCTCACGTCCTTTAGCGCCCGGACCATCTGTGCGCATATTTGTCGGGCACTCATTGCAAGTCTGTGCGCCGATCGCGCTCTGGTAGTAGTTCGCAGGGCAGGGCGAGCAGGGTGCCAAACCGGTGTAGGAGTAGAAGCCGGCTGGACATTTTTGACGACACAAATCTTTTGTGGAAGCTGCCGGCTGGAAAGTAAATGTATTTTGCGCGCAAGCCGTGCAATCCTTGAAGCCACCATTTGGCGGTTCAGCAGTGTAAGAGCTACGTGGACACTCTAAGCAGGGCACTAGACCAGTCGGCGAGTATGTGCCATAGCCGCAGACGGGTATGCAGTCACTGAGAGCCTTGGAGCCTTCTTCCTTCGTGTAAGTGCCAGCTGGACAACGCATGCAGGTGCCTTGACGGTCGCGATTCTGATAGTAGCCGCGTGGGCAGTTCGTGCAAACACTTTGGCCAGTGATCACATATGTGCCCGCCGGACAATGAAGACAACGTGGCACGTCACTGGTGTCCATATTCAACACTTCGCCGATGCTACAAGTGAAACCGCGCGATATGTTGCTCTTTAGCGCGCGTAGTGGCGGACATTGGTTGCCAATATTGGAGATGTTCAGGAGAGAATCGATAACGGCGCTAGCATAGGGCACACTCAAGTCGAATATTAGATTAAGCGTGGAGCCGCAGAGTTCGTAGAGTTGTGGTTGTCTAACTGCGGGTAAAATCGAGAGTATGAAATCCATCTTAACCACATTTTCCTCCATCAAGCTGGGTACTGATTTAATGAAGGAGACATTCATGTTCACATTAACGGCTGAGCAACGTTGCGACAGCAGCTGATTCAAACCGGCGTAGTGCTGCGACAACATTTCCTGGTATTGGCCGAGGCAGGCCTGCGCAACAGCGCCATTGGCGCGATAGGTGACGGTGGCAGTGACTTGGTAATCGGCTTGTTCGGTATTCTCCGATACACAATCGGGAACCACAGAGGTGGGTTTCCATAGACGCGAGGTCTCGCAGGAAAATGACTTCAAGGGCTCGCCATCGGTGAAGCGAAAACCGGGTTTGCAGGTGGCAATGCACTCAATACCGCGATCACCAGGCAGGCAGTTAATAACACCGTTTGCGGGTGGTTGTAGCTCCCAATCCACGCACGGCGAAGCTTGCACTGACACTTGGAAGTGGCAGAAGGCACGATTATTGAATTTATCGATGGCGGTAACAGTGACATTCTCATAGGCGCCGATCGGTATGAGAGCGCGTTCTGGCGTATATGTGATGCGCACATCACCAGAGTCATCGGAGGTCTTAATGCGTTTACGTGTATCGTTAAAGTTGACGTTGTAGCTATCTTGCCGATCGACCAGTTCAATGACATAACTCTGTGGGCACTGCAGCAGTGGAGGTGTGACATCTGGCACGGTGATGTTAATCTCACAAATGGCAACGTTGCCGTCATAATCGAAGGCAACATATTTCACAACGGTATCCTTGAACACATACGACGGTGTTTTAAAGTTTTGCGGCTTAACTTCGAGACGTGCAATGGAGCCGGAATTGTCAACGGCTGAGGGTTCGGTGAAGTTGACTGGCAGCACAGCGCCGTTCTCGTCGCGACGCACAATAATCGGTTGTTGTGGGCAATTCTGGAAGATAGGCGGCTCGTTGTCCACGCAAGGCGAATAGCCATAGTCGTAGCCTAATAGTGGCTCCTTCTTTGGCTCTTCGCAACCCATGAGCTCGAATTTCAAGCAAGCATTATCCATATAGCTGACGATACCCAAAATAACGAAACGTGCCTGCACATACTTAGGCAATGTGATCATCGCTAGCTCACCATAGTTGCCGGGATCGCGCATAGTTAGATTGAAGTTGGGGAAGTAGACGACATAATTTTCATTCTCGGCTTGCTTGTAGAAGAAACGTATCTCGGTGGGGCGACCCACAATGTCATTGGTGACCACACCTTTCACCAAAATCGCCTTGACGCGGTGTATCTGTCCCAAATCTACGCTCACGTAGGTGAAAGCCTCCTGCTTGCCACACCAGCCAGTTGCCGAGTTCAAGCGTATATTCTTCGCTTCGTAGTTTGGACGCTCGGAAGTCGCATTAATAGCAGAATCGGGTATCTTGCCCGAGGTCACACCCAGTGGCTTGATAACTCTGCACTCAGGCTCGCGTATGCAGGTAATCGGACGTGGATTAATCAGTATGTAACCGGGGCGATTGCAACCGAAGTATACCTCCGAGCTCTGCTCGTAACTGCGCGATATTTGACGGCCATCGCTAGGGCGACCAGGATCTTCGCAAACAGGACCCTCACAGCGCAAATCACCAAAGTCCCAGATGCCATCGGACTGGCAACGCACAACATTATCATGACGAGACGTTTGACCGGCCAACTTGAAAGTATTTTGGCAACCGAAGAAGAAAGAACTCTGGAAGCGCGTGTCCACGAATTGACCATACTCAGCGCCAGGTGTTGGCATTGGCTGATAGCAGTCGATACGTGGACAAGAAGGCTGCGAACCGGACAGCCAATAATCAGGCAACCCAGGCTTGGGGTCATACACACATTGACGGAACCCGGAGGTGGCAGTGTTACGCAGCTTCCGGCCTGCGGAACTACAAGTGATGGTCACATTATCGCGGAATGGTAGTAACACCGACTCTGGATCTGGACGCTCAACAGAAAGACCCTCGAGTTTGTCATCGGGCAACGATACACATTTGGCGTCTGAAAAGTATAGGAGTATTTTTTTAGTAATCATTAGATGAAAAGTATACGATCTGTAACTTACAACTACACTCGGGCACAGTGGCATTCCACTGCCCGTTCGAGAGGCAAAGTACAGCCGCGCTGCCGGACATAATATAGCCGAAATTGCATTGGAAGCGCACAATATCACCAAAATGATGATCATTCTTGTCGGTCAACAGCTTGCCATTCTCTGGCTCTAGGAGCGGAGGGCACATGAGCGGCACGCAGGTCTTATTGCGCTGATAGCTATCGCCATCGCGTTCACCCGTCTCTGACCGTTCAATGCTAAATCCAGCCGTGCCATTGCCTGTGAAGAGCTGATAACCTGTATTGCAGGAACAAGCATAGCTGCCGGGTGCGTTAACACATTTCTGATCACAGCCGCCATTATTCTTCGCGCATTCATTGATATCCACACAGTCCAAACGCGTACAGCCCATCAATTCCATGCGTATGCAAGGCGCACCCACGTAGTCCTGAATGCGGAAGCGTATGTAGCGCGCCTCAATCGGCATCGGTAGATTCAAAATGGACAGAGTGGGCTCTAATATGCGGAATTCCACAGCTGTGCCATCGGGATTTGTATAGTCCTTAAACACATCAGTCAGATCGTCGGTGTATTGTAGACGTACGGCCGAGGTGAAGGCCACATTACCGTCAAAGCGTTGCACGGACATTGTACGGAAGCCACGTAGAATAGCTGGCGCTTTAAGGTCGATCAAAATCCAATTGGCGCCCGGTTCTACAAGCGCACCGCACCAGCCGGCAGAGTTGAGACGCACCAAGCCCTTTGTGTAACCTTCCTCGCTAGAAGAAGTCATTATGCTGTCATCGGGTACGCCACCATTAGCCAAGCCCAAATCGCCGACTGGACGACACTCAGGCGTCGGCGCGAAACCGCCGCGACACTGACAGTGGAACGAACCATTCGTGTTCATGCATTCTGTAGTCGCCAAATCGCATTGTGTGGACGTGCACTCGTTGATGTCCTCACAAGTTGGTGGATTCTCAAAGATTTGCTCCGAATTGCAGCGTATAATATTGCTGCCGATCAGCTTGTAACCCTTGTAGCACTGCACGCGTGCATCGTCACCAAAGTAATACGGACGTGCTGCGTCTACGACAAATCCGTTGTCGATTTCCGGATACTCGTAGCAACGCTTGCGCGTACAGCGTGGCACATCACCGCTCCAAGTGCCGTTCGACATGCATATCAATACAGGGTGACCAGTGCGTTCGTAACCCGATTCACATTCGTATTGAACGATGGTGCCATAGCTGCGCCCTCCGCCATTGAGCAACGTCACATTGGCGTGCGCTACTTCAGGCAGTGGTGAGCACTGAGAAGCCATGCAAGTAGGTGTGCGCTCCCAACGGCCATCGGGCAAGCAGGAAATCTTTTCGATAGGTGCGCCCGAGGCAAAAGCGAAACCAGCATAGCATTGATACATCGCAACGCCGCGATACGTCACATTCGATGAGCCGATCGAGAAGCCGTTGTCGATTTGTGGCACGGGACCGCAGTAGACCTCTGTGGGTAGTAGAAAAAAAGTTTTTATTAGAGCGAGCCTGCAAGGCGACAGCAAAGTTAAGGACTTACCTTGACATTTTGGTATGTAAGACACACTCCAGTTGCCACCCTTCATACACTCGGTGACGATTTTATTCTTGCCGGTGGAAAACTCTTGTCCAATCGGGCAAGTGAACTTGACCACAGTGCCGAAAGCTGTATCGCGGCTCGACGCCAAAGCGCCAATACCTGGCTTCAGCTCAGGGCAGTCAGCCGAGAATGTCGCAGACCAACTGCAAACAGAAAATATGAAAATATAGGCAAACTTAAAAGGGGAGTTTTCACTACGTACCCCGCCGCATTGTGCAGCGCATCCGAGGTGAACTTAATTAGCATCTCCCCTGACGAAGCGGTCAAGGTAAGTTTGGGCGCCACGGTGCCAGTGAAGCCGTCACCTGAGTGCAAACGCAGACCTGCAGTGGATGAGCCATCATAGACTTGCACGAAATCGCTCTTGTGCACCATGAACTTGTCGAATTTCAGCGACAGTGGTGAAGCGCTCGGATTGCGTATGGTGAAGTAACATTCCTGATTCTTCGGATAGTCCTCCAGTCCATAAGCCGGCGAGGTGACAGTGCCATTGCGTTCCGTAATCGTGGCCTTGCAACCTTGTATGTACCGCAAGCTGAAGCCCTTGCCAGACTCACCCAGACTAGATTTGAAGTACAAATACAACGAGCTGCCAGTGGAAATAATAACCTTCTCGTTGTCATTAGCGTTGCCGGTTAAGCGTGCAATGGGTCGACTCATCGGTGATTCACCATCACGTATCAGCAGCATATCACGACCTTCAGCCACATCCAAGTCATCCACTTCGATAGAAATAATGCGTCCCGGTTGTGCCTTAATTATGTATAGACACTCCAAACCGCCCGGATATTGCTTGGGATAATTGGGGCTGGTCAAAGTTTGACGCTGCAGATTCGCCTTCAACACGCCGCCACAATTTTTTGCTTCCGTTTTCCAAGTGGCGCGAAAACCTTTACGCTCCACGCTGCCATCAGTAGTGAATTTCACGATCATGAAATTGGACGCAGACACAAATGGTTGCATAGTCAAATCCAGCTTACCGCTCAGCGTCGCCAGCGACACTGACTTATCCTCGGTGCGACCACCGACCAACACTTGCACCGTATCGAAAGTCTTCTCCGTTTCGAAATCCTGAAACTGTAGTATGATATTGCTGCCCAACGGGCCCTCCAACGTCCACTTACACTTGCTCATCGCGCCATATTTGTGCGGATAATTGGGTGTCTCAATGACATCACCGCCCGATTGCATATGATAGTGACACTGCGCCGGGCAGTCCAACTCATCCGAACCATCACCACAATCGTCAGCGCCATCACACTTGAACGCCTGATTCACGCACAAGCCATTCGAGCAGTGTATGGAGTTCTGCGGACAGGCGGGTGCGCGACACATAAAGGGCAGTAAACTATCGCAGGTATCCAAATTCCAAGACTGCATGCGCGAGGCGAAGGTGGCGGCCACACACTCACCGGACATGGGATCGGGTTGATTGAGCGACCAAAAGCCCGAATATTGGGAGATGAGTGCGCCCGAGGCAGACTCCAGCGTGTTGGTGCGCAGATCATCCAGCGATGCCAGACCGAGCCAGTACTTGTCGGAGGCACGACGGTTGGGATCATTGCTGCGCGCAATAGCGAGCGTGTCATTGTTCTCCGCGTACGTGTCGATTGCCACCAGTTCGGCGCCATATCTGCGTTGGGGAGAAGCGAGAAGAGAGATAAAATGATAAAGGTGAAAAAGTGCTTAGAAAGTGTAAGTTGACTGGTAGTGAATTTTTTTTTTTTTCAGAATTTAACACATTTGCGGAACTATTGATGCATCAATTTGCACATGCGGAATTTCGGCCACACGAGCGCTAATTTTTGTTTGCAAAAAAAAAACAGAAAAGAAAAACGGAAATCAGCGCAAAAAATCACGCAGTTAACTTGTCATCAGACAACTTTCTATTTTCTTTAAGATTCTTTGCCGCGCATCTTGCGCTTCTAAAAATTCCATCATAATTTTGGCCTAATTTTAGTCTGCCAACCAAACGCAGGCGACAACAAAGAAACGTCAGTAATGGAAACTTTCGTTTCCAAATCAATGGCAACTGGAATACTTTTGAGATGAGAAGTGGCAATAAAAATTATAAAAGAAAAAAACATATGTGTACATATGTATATGTAGCTTGATCTTGTGCCACTTACAACCGCCAGCTCTATGGTATGCCATTTTATGGTATTTAAGAATAACAAAGCCGCCATTAAACGCCATTGATAATATCAGCAGTAGCAACAGCGCGGAAATAGTAGAGCGAAGGCCATAGAGTCAGCTCCACAGCCATTTTTATTACACATTTCGTATTTTTATTTTGTATGTGATATTTTGTTTGCTTTGCTGCGGTTATTTTTTATTTGTTTCTTTTTTTCTTTTGTATGTGGGAATAAAACTCGCGAAATCTAGTTCGAATGGTGTTCTGCAAGTTCGATGCTGCTGACTTCAGTTAGGAGAAGTAGGCGGTGGCGTATTTTTCACTTTCAGATTTTTTTGAATGTTATTCGTGTATCGAAAGGTGGTAGGTGAATGCACGTACATATGTATATGTATATTAGACTGATTCACTTCCCATTACAAAAAAAAAATAAAATAAAAATCGGTACTGCTTTTCCACTGGAATTATGAAATCTATTATATTTTAAGACTTCCGCCAAAATGTTAAGATTTACTTGCGCTGGACCGATTTCAACCTTCAAAAATTTAGTGTTTTATTAATCGAAATAGTTATAGTATTTTTTGAAAAAATTACAATTAAAAAATTTGAATAAAAAATTTAAAAAAAAAATTCAACGGAGTCATAATAATTCGTCTTTTGGCGCTGTTTTTGGGCCTTTTTTCAAAGACTGGTTTAAGAAAAACTTACCAAAAATCTAATTATTATAACTCCGTTGAAATAGATTTTTAAATATTTTTATGTAGAATTTTTCAGCTTAAACTGTTTCGTCATCTGAGAGGATTTTTCTCAAAAAAAAAAAAACTATTTTTGTTCATAAAAAACTCCATTTTTAGAGGTATTTTCAAACCGGTCCAGCTCACGTAAATCTAAATATTTTCCCGAAACATTTTGATGGCAGTCTTAAAATATAATAGATTTTGTAATCCCGTCGGAAAAACCGCAACTTGTTTTGGTGCTGCAGTCTAATGTATATGTATAAATATTAAGCTGGCTCTATTTTTTTTATTGAGGATTAATATTACAATTTTAGACTATCAAAAGTGAGTTACGCAAAGTTCAAAATTTCAATAATTTTCATCAAATCTCTACAGTTTGACTCAATAAATCCCTTTGAAAACCAAGTTTTATTTATTCCTTTAAGTAGAAGTTACACCACAGCTTATCACCGAAGCGATAAGTGACCGGAAAATCAGTTGGGCTTTATTTAAAATAAAGATCCTTAAATTGCCAGAAAGAGATGAAATATTACCGGCTCAGCTAAAACATACCATGAAACGTACATAGCCACTTATTCAGCTGCTTAAGATTCGTTTTCATTCTCGTGACCTGCAATAGGGCAGTCAGTTCGAAGACGCCCTATCTCAGAAAACTTTTCAAGAGTGACCTACTTTAGAATTTGATTGAAGAACGCCCTATTTCAGAATTTTATTGAAAAACCCCCTATCTCATAATTTGGTTGAAAACGCCCTATCTCAGAAATCGGTTCAAAAGTGACCTATCTCAAACGAAAATACATTGAAAATGTGCTGAGATAGGGCAGTTGAGTTAGGGCGTTTCTGAACCGAATTCTGAGATAGGGCATTTTGCATCGGCAAATTCTGGGATAGGGCATTCTAAAGTCAAATTCTGAAGTAGAAGGGGGGTTCACTTTGCGCTGCTAATGCGATGCGTTAACCCACTGAGGACTTGTGTGCCTCGCCATCGTACTTCCAATTATTCATCAAAATAAATGTCATTTAGATAGATTGCAATTAGCAATTTTTATGCAATTAATGATTGCAATCAAAAATTAATTGCAATCAAAAACTTATTGCAATCAATTTCTTCTAAATAATTACAAATTTAAATTTTTTCAATCAAAATATAAGCAATCAATGTTAATTGCAATTAAACCAGATTGCAATATTACGTAAAATATGCGATTGCAATCCAATTTGATTGTAATTTTTTACAGCCCTGTCCCTTACACATATGTTAGTGTTTGGCCGAGCTTCTCCTCCTCCAATCGCGAAGGGAAAATATCCATAAACCGGATTTTAGTCTGCTTTCGTAACGTAGCGTATTCGTAGCACCTAAGAAACCTCCCTCTGTATGTAGGTATTATGTTTAAAGAATTCTTCAAAACAAACAAGTTGTGCCAAAATAATTGCACATGCAACGAAAAACAGCATGCAAGATAGTGCATACATACATACATACATACATATGTACACATGTATGTGGGTTTAAATATGACAAAGAGTATCTATGCGACTACAAAAGCTTGCAACCGCAAGCATTTTCGTGCACACAAACATATTTTGATACAAGACACAATTGACAATTGCCACACCTCTGCGTACGTGGCCAACAGGTTTCGTCGACTGGAATTTTTTGAATTTAATGTACACTGTCGAAATATCATAAAACATTCCCTAAAGCAACAACAATAAGGATCGAAGGTTTTTAACTTTATGGCTGGCCTCCTTGCTGGTGTTGTTGCATTTGTTGGAATAGCTTAAATGCCACAAAAGCATTCAAAAACGCATGCAGGCGTACATATTTACTTACATAAATCTGCACAGCTGCAACCACAACAAGCAACTGTCCATAGGCATTAAGTGTGTTGCATACACGTGCATACATAAATACAAAGAGGTTCAAAAATGCATATAAATATGTACATATACAATCAAAATACAGATATACTTAAGCATCTATTAATGTATGTATGTATGTATGTATAGATTTCTTGTATTTGAGCTCACAGGTCAGACGTGCTCAGTAGATTTGCCATCACAGAGGGACGTATGAAGTGAAACGGGTATAAATAGTAAGGGCGCCTTGTCCGGATTGCATATTTCATACAGGCGGCAGCGAATTTAACATTCAAGTAAAGACTCTTCAATTGACAAAAAAGATAATATTCCCAAGCAAGGTCCTTTAGTATTGTACGTCGAAGCCGGTGCTTTTTAAACCAGATAAACAACAAAATTAGTATTCAACCGAAAGCGATATGAAAACGCTTTATTATTTTGAAGTTACAGACAAGTTTTCGCGTGGTGTAGGATCAGGGTTAGCCTTCTGTAATCCTACAAAGTCCGGAGATATAACAGGAGCTGCAAAACCTCTCAAATAAGATGGATTAAAAGAGATGGGAAGCGAGAGAAATAATATCAATTGGATTATTATTTTTTTTTTTTTAGCCAACAAAGCGCGAGCTTTTACCACATACGTAGAGAGAACTTTTAACCCATAGCTAGCTTAAAAAACGCTTCTCACACGTCCCGTGTTTTGATGTTTGCCGCCTTGAGACAGAATTGGCCCCTGCATGCGTACATGATTATTTAGGTGGGCGCAAGGTAAAAGCTTCCACTAGCCCACACTTCTCTAAAGCCATCTCTAAAAGTGACACTCAAAAGTTGGCGCGCAGGCTAAACTTTTGCAAGCTTTAAAAGAGCGACGCCAGCATGTGGAACTTTTCTAAGCTTATATAAGCTTATATCAGTTATGATCAAAAATTATTCCGCGAGCGAAGCTTTTTAAAGCTTTTTTTAGAGTCGGTCGGCAATTTTGTATGCACGCTGAATAAAAGCTCTCTCTATATAGACCGGTGAAAGTCACATCCGTGTTCGCGTATAAGTTTTTTTAAAGCTTTCTGAAAGTTGCGTACAAAAGCGTAATGAGTAAAAGCTTTTCTAAGCTTTCAGGAAAGTTTGTATATATTAGATGCGCAAATAATAACATAACCCTCTGCACGTTGTTGACATAGCTGCTTTAGATAGATATATGCACGCACAGTAAAATCAGTCTGTAGTTGTCGCTGATTTATATAAACCGGTAATGGCTATAGCATTGACTGTATATAAACTGTTTAAAGCTTTTTATAAGTTTTCATATATGTATGTATGTAAAGCTTTGTATAAGTTTTGTATAGATAACTGATGGACACTGCCTTGCCCGCGGGCAAAGCTCTTTTAAGCCTTCTATACATTTTGTATAGGCGCATGCAGAGTAAAAGCTCTATCTGCCCATCGATGGTATAAATGCGCAAACGATAAAAGCCCTCTGTTCACGTTTTTGATGTAGACGCTTACAGAGAGGAAGTTCTGAAGAACGTGAAAGCTGTTTCTCTTCTCGTCACTGACATAAAACCTCTCATTTCTCATTAACGATCAAAACATATCCCACGGGAGAAGCTTTTTAAAGCTTTATAAATTTTGTATCCCTGATCGTCACTTTATTGTGTACTCATATGGATTATCGAGCTTTTACTTTATGCATGTCCATATAAAGTTCATAAAAAACTTGAGGAAGCTTCTCCCGCCGGATATGCATAGTCTTGATTGTTGTCTAAAATCAGATAGAGCTGTTTTTCATTGCTTCGGACAAATGAGCGCATGTATGAAATATTCTCACAAAACACAGCAAAATCAGGGAAACGTAAAAATCTTTCACTAGTAAAATTAATAATAACATTTTGGTGCTTATTTTTTTGC